TATGCTTGCCTTCCTCTACATAAAACTCACAAGAATTCCACTGGCTAATGAGATCCCCTCCAGTAGGAGCACCCCAAAGTTGGGTTTTGGGCTCCAGGCCACCTTTCCTGCAGGATGCTCCCATCACTGGGTAAGCCCAGATTTGCTTCTGTAGCTTCGGATGCCTCCACACACAGGTGGTAGGAAGACTTAGCCAGCTTCACCTGAACTGTGTTCCTCACAACTCTCCATCAGTGTCCTGATGTCCTAGCTGGATGTGGTTTGAGGCCAGCCACGGAAGGTGTTCACTGGCTGTTGAGGAAACCATGTTCTAAAGGGAAGAAGGGCTTCGTGTTTAACTAGTGGGAGAACCAAGACCTCTGTTTCTTGCTCTCTTGCCCCATGGCTTTCTTGCTATGACTCATGTCTGAGCAAATCCCTGGAAGTGATCATAGCAAGCCAACTTCTGGATACATGGAGGTTCACTGAGGTGTTCCTGTCTCTCAGTGGCTAACTCAGCTCAGGCAGAGACGGGAGTGCTCCTCCCTGGGCCTGTGCGCTCCTCCCATTTTATCTCCCAAACGAGGAGAGGAGTCATTTCTGTGCTGAGGGAGCAGGTAAAGTCATCCAGGGATGCTGATAGGAGATTTTCACCAGGAAGAGAAAATAGCCATAAAAGACATTATTGGGCCAAGAGGAGGGTAGACTGTGGGCGGGTTAGATAGCAATGTGGGTTAAGTGTCAAGGTCCCCGATTCCAACAATTCCATTGTGGTTATATTCTTAGGAGACACACACCGAGTAAGAAATTAAGGTGCGGTAACTGCGTTAAAATGGTGTCTGTCGATCTATATGAAGATTACAAATGCATACACATAGAATGATAAAGCCGTGGGATAGAATGAAAACAACTGGTAACTCTTAAGTTCAGGGAATATAAGAGTTCTCGGCACTGCTCTTGTACTTCTTCTGTAACTTTGAAATGCTATCAAAATGGCTGTTTGAAGGATCCCACTGAGAGGCCCGCAGCAAACACAGTGACAGGCAGGTCTCTCGATCCAGGGACACGTGTCCATGCCTTTCCTTTGTCCTGCCACCCCTGCCACCCCACTTCCTCCTGCTGCCACTGTGGGCTGGGGAAAGAACCATTAGCCTTTGTGTCTGTGTGGACAACGTGGAACAAAGCCCGGCCTCCAGCAAGGTGGAGGGGGATGTGGCAGGAAGACACCACCACAGTTCCATCCCTTCCCAACTAGGAGACGCTAGGCAGGACAGTCTCATCTCTAAGGCTCAGTTTGGCTTCTCTATGAAATGGGAGCAGCTAGTATTTGTAAGACAGTGGAGGCTTGGCCACGGCCACGTGGCAGGAGCTGCGGACCTGATGCCTGTGCAGGGCACGCAGGACACGGGTTCCGTTGCACTCAGCTCTCCTCCCACTTTCCCTTCCAGCATCTGCACAATTTCTCCCCCAAGCTCCCAGCTGCCTCCTCCCCTGCCAATGTTATCATTCTTCTTCAGACCACATAAACTACATTCCTCTCCCTCCTTCAAAACTTGGTTCTGAGCTTTCCTCACCTCGAACCCTCTCAAATTTCCTCCCGTGTTCGTGGCTTGGGACTCGGGTGACTGGCGGGTTAACAAGTACTTCAGTCACGGGGGCCTGGGGGTGGACTGCCTGGCTTCTTCCTCATGCTACAATGAGGCTTGGGGGCTCCCAGGCAAGTGTGGTCAACACTGTCCACTCCTACACCCAACAGCTGGCTCATAGGAATAAACCATCCCTGGGGACAGGAGGGTGCACAGAGAGGGGTCTGGCTATGCTCTGTTTGACAGGAAAGTCATTCGCCATTTCCTCAGGAAAGATGGATTTCCTCCTTAGATTAGGTACTTCACAGTCTTGACAAAACCACACATATGTCCGCAGAAAAACCGCTCATGGAATCCAACGTGTCTAGGAATGAGGATAAGCATGCTAACAGACAGGGCATGTGATGAGGGCATACGGACTACATGTGAGATTCCATCTGAGCCGGGAGGAGAAACCCTTGCTGTTGAGGTGTTTGTGTATGAACATACATAAAAAGTGCACAGACGAGAGCAAATGAGTGTATGAATGAAACAGGGGACAGAAGAGGATTTTTACATTGCACTTGGTATATTCATGTATGTTTTAAAATGCTCAGTGAGAATGCATGCACATATAACGTAAGCAACTACTAGACAAATTATACCCCAAAGAATAAAAGAATTGGGGACACAGACCTAAAAGACACCACCTTCACTTCCTGTCCCTGGGAGCAGCCACCTTGTCAGAAGGCTTCGAGGACCAACTTTGGTGGTGTCCCTCAGGCCTCTGGGGTGCGGGTTTCTAAGGGACAAGAATGCATGTGGAGGGGCAACCAAAGCCATAACCTAATGCACAGAGTGACAACAGGCTTCGGGTGGTGGGGACTGAGTAGACAAGCCAGCACAGTGGGGCGAAGTGGCCATCAGGGTGCATGGGGTGAGACGTCTATCACTGGACCACAGAGGAGCACAGCTACCTTTGCAGACGGGTGGGTGGAGTTAACCCTGTAGTGACTGTCCTCCATGGAGTCCAAACACTTCCTGTCAGCCCTGCTCTCCCCACCTAAGGCTGCCTCCATGGGGTGTCTTGCTCTCAGGGCACTAATATGAGGACTCCTGGGTGACTCTGCACACTTCACAGGGGCAGCAGGCACACCCCCTGCTGCTCTGAACCAACCATGGACAGCAGGGACAGCCTCCCACCGAAAGGCAGATTTTTCGTATGGCCACACCCTGGGACGATCTAGGAACATAAACACAGAATCCCAGCCGCCACCCTAGAGTTTCTGTTTAATTGGTCTGGGGGCAGCCTGGGCACGGTGCTTTCCAAGTCCTGCAGGTGAATCTGATGCACAGCTCTAGCTGCCATCCGGGACTCCGGAGTGTGAGGATGACAACTTGGCTGGGGTTTTCCAAGGCCTCCTGCTCTGCAGGGCAACGTGCCCAGTGCTGGGTCTGCTCACTGTCTCACAGCCTCACCACACTTGTTTTCCTCCACACTCAAGCTCTGACCCTGCCTCACCCTCCTCGGGACTGCACAGAACGGGGTTCCAGACCTGAAGACGGGGTGGCTGGGCCTCTGTCCCTGGCAGAGCCACCTCATCACATCCCGTGTCACAGACCCTGCTGTTCTTCTAAGAGCAACACTTTATTTGCTCATGTTTCCCCACAGGTAGCACACCAAGGCCCAGGCAGCAGCTTTGGAGAATAACACTACTAACTCATTCCTCCTAGGTCTGTGTGACTGTTCCCGGGCTTTTACCAGCTTATTAAAATCTCCTCGGAACAGTCCTGGCTCCTCCACTGTCTGAGTGGATCTCACTTTGTGTAAACATCTAGGAGGAATTATAACTTCACTTCGGCTACCCCACCACGAAGGCTCTGGACCTCTGACCCTTCCGTCCGATTAGCTGTGTTCCAAGAGCTCATCAGCAGCAAGGCAAATACACAGCTTTACAAAGAAAAGAACAAGGCAGTTATAAAACACGGCCTTGTAATGGAAAGCAAAGTGATCTTTGGAACAATGGGGCCCCATCACTTCCCTCTACTAGTAGAAGTGGGAGCTTCTCTTCTGTTTTTGTTCTCTGTTCGACTTTTTAAAACTTACTTTTTTGAAAGTCTCACTCTGTATCCCAGGCTGGCATACAACTCACTATGTAGCCCAGGTTGGCCTCACCTCAGCTTCTCAAATATTGGGATCACAAGTGTGCACCAGGGCTTTCTGTTTATTTGAAAGCTTAGAGTGTTCTGGGGATGGCTAGGCAACTCTGTGCCCTATAAAACTAGAACTATCACAAGGTAGTTCTGCTAATAAAAACCACACTAATAAGCACAGCAGAAGACGGGTCTGCATTACGGCTTTAGGAACTTCTGTGTCTATCATTCGATGATTTTATTTGATAGGTATTATATTTTGACTATGTAGGTTATGTTTTACAACTGCCCTGGTATAAAGATGAATAAACTAATATTATGCATTTCAAATACTATCTTGAAACAGTTCGTTTTTTTTTTTAATTGCAGTTTTATAGGTGTGAAAATAGCATGTGCCCTAAGCACGCCGTCTAATAGAGACACTGGCCATGGAGGAAGCCCAGATCCAGGAGGGAGGTAGCCATGTACAGTTTCGGTTATACCCGTGCCTCTTCTCCCTGGCTATGTCTAATACACTGAACTCTGACTCTGAATGACACCAGTGAGGTCCTTCCATGGACGCAGCGTGCCATCCCGAGGGCTGGGTTGGCCTTCAGAGAACACACGAGGACATACAGGTACCTCCCTACGGTGCCAGGAAACGAGTCAGTCAAGGTGGACGTTGGATGTTCTGGAAAGTTACTGGGGTGGCTGGAGTGGAAATCTGCCAGAAAGTTGCCCATGGAGAGAGGTGTGAGGGCAAAGGCACGAGAAAGGAAAGGGGGTGGGGGCCCCCCAGGACTCAGTGAGGCGCTCTGTTATGGAACAGTTGTTAGGGAGTGGGGCAGAGCACGAGGCGGCAGTCAGGGTGCACACACACTAGGTTTGTCCAGGGCAGGACCACAGGAGAGGCTCACGTGTGGGCGTCTGGAGGCGCTGGGGACCGTCGGCCATTTCCGCTGACGTCATAAGGACGGAGTAACTGTTTAGGAAGGTTCCCTCGACAGGGACAGAGTCAACTTAAAGATGAGGAACGGCTCCCACGGGGGTCTGAGGGACCAGCAAAAAGTGATGCAGGAGGCGGGGAGGGCTGTGGTTAGGAAGACAGAGAACTCGTGTGACAGCCCCAGGCTGCAGACGGGGCGGGGAGAGCCTGGCAGGGGTTGAGGAAAGGTTGTTGGCTCCGGAATCAGGAGGACATGGGGTACTCTAGGGCACGGGCAGGAGCTTGTCCTCAAGGAGTTCAAGACAGAGCTGGTGACCAGGAAGCAGGGCCTGCGCCACCAATCCTGCCTTTGTATGGCGAAGCTGAGAGGCACTTACTCTCTGTTCCTAGCACGGGGGGAAGAGAGCTCTTGGGTCTCCGGGATTTCATCTCCGGGACCTTGGTGTTCTCACCGGCGGCGGCCCGAGCATCTGGAACACAAAAGAAACACCAACATCAGTCAGGAGCTGTCTGAGGAGCTGAGTAGAGGAGGCACCCCAGTCAGAACCCTACCTTGACCCTGGTTGGCCCACCCACCCTACATTCCACTCAGAGGCCCTCTGTGCCCACGGAGTGGCGCCTGCAGCAGGCCCTTCCTCCAGGGGAACACCAAAGAAGGAGAGCCTGCCGAATGGCCCTGATAAATCAGGTGGCTGGGACAGTCACCCAGCAGGATGGATGGCCAGGCTGGGGAGCTATTTACTGCTCCCTGCTGTAGCAGCAGAGATGGCCAGGACGAAGGCCACTTAGTAGGGCCTAGGCCTCCATGCGCTTTGCTCTCCTTGCCCCCAACGGGCCTTGACTCACTGATTTAGATGTTCTACATTTCAAAGGCTCCCTGCAAATGGAGGGGGTCTCACACAGAGGGTGAAGACTGGGCCCTACCTTTCAGGCTCCTGGACTAAAAGGTGTTCGCGGCCTTTGATTTCTGAGACTTGGTTTTTGCACTGAGCCAGGCCTGGCCAGGTGAAGGCTTCAGAGCAGGCCACTAGCATAGTCTCAGAGACCAAGGCTGGGACTCATTTAAAGGCTTTCACAGTATATCCTTAAGGCAGGTCCATGAGTCCCTGCGGTGGCCATTTGCTGAGGCGGGGCAGCAAGTTCCTTCTTCCACATCAAGGTAAAGCACACATAATGTTGGTGGTGGTGGGGGGCGGTAAGACTCTCTCCGTGCACAGAGGGGAATAGCACTGTGGGCTGGGTGAAGCTGGGCAGAAAAGGCTCTCCCTTGGTTCCCATGAGACTGGATTTTCACTTTGTGGGAAAACCACCCAGGACTTCAATAAGAAGCCCCTGGCTGAATGACCATTACCAGGCTTGTGTTTTCACTACTTAGGGGAGAGGGTGGAAGGCTCCTCCCCCAAGTCCCTTCCTGTCCTTACCCTCCATTTCCTGCTCCCAAGGAGGAAGCTCAGAGGGAGGAGGGGATTTTCCAGCCAGGGCTCTGGCCACATTCCTGTGGCTTGGCTGGGGAAGAAGGGCTAACAGGCTGTCCCTGCCTCCAGGCTGGGCACCTCAGCTGGTCTTATCTAGACTGGGTTCCCTGTGAGGGTGGTACTAGGAACATAGACCGCGTGGGTCGGGGAAAACACTCCCTAGTTCCTGGTTGCGTTTCTCCTAGATGACAGCTGGGTCCCCTGCATGCTTTAGAATGTGCATCTGTCCACACGACTCCTTTTACTAAGTCTTGTTTATGTAGGCTTCCTCCACCACATGCCTGTCCTCTCTATGAGCTGGGTAACCCGGTGACAGAAGGCTGCATGTGGGCACAATACAGGCTCAGTTAGACGGCAGCCGAGAGATATCAAGGTCAATTCCCTGTTGAAGACGACCGACCGAAAGCCATGTACACACAACTATGGAAATGATTCCATTTGAGCTTTAATTAGGATTTTCTAGCAGTATATGATGGGATGAGAGTAAAGGGACGAAGGTGAAAGAAATCCTTTTAGGCAGAGCTTGAAAAAGCCAGTCCATACCCTGTGGCCTCCCCTACTGTGTGATGCCCATGTCCTGCCACCTCCTTAAGAGCAAAGGATCCCCAGATGGTGAGTTCAGGGTTCTTGTCATGTGAAGCTGACAAGGTCTCAGGTTGCTGCCCTCACTCCAGGACACCAGTTTCACGTGGGCACTCTGGAGGAACAGAGAGACCCCTGGGACTCTGAAGAAAGGTGCATTCCGAAATGTCTTGTCTTCTCCTTCCCAGGAGGAAGAATGAATGATAGAGTGTGTACATAGTACTGAATTCCTGATTCAGCACTCTTTTTCTCCTGGTAAGTTCCAGAGCAGAGAGGAGTCTGGGAAAGAGGATCAAAGTCCTTTTTCTGATATATAAGCTGAGGCACAAGCAAGCAGAGGCGATGGGCCCAGTTTTCCTGGCTTCTTAAAGAGGGTAGTGGGATCGTGTGGATACCTTTCCTCATGGGTCATGCTGGATGCTATTTTGGCGCATTTTGTCTGTCACTGTCACCCTTGAGTATTGGGGTGAATCATTTAAACTGCCCCATGCCTCTGCTTCCAGAGCTGTAGAAAAGGAACTTACATCTTTTCTAGCTCACTGTATCCCAAAGCCCAGAGAAGGCAAGGCATAAGATGGTGTTTTAGAGAGATCAAAAGCACCACTTACCTAAATGAATGCATTCTTTTTGTTAGTCATGTTCCCCCACCCTCTTCTAATGGGCTATTCAGCATCTTCTCACCTCAGCAAGCCCTCTATCAGCTCGAAGGGCCTCTGCAGTGCCCTTGGCTCTGGGGCACACTGTGGGTTCACTAGAGGCATGAGCACTTCACTTGGGTGCACACTGAGCTGGTTTTGAGACAGCTTCACTCACTGCAATTTATCTCCCCATCAGGCCCTGAAGAAAAGGGCTCAAGTTTCCCTTCCAAACCAGTCATATCCTCACCCCAGAGGCCCAGGGTGGGGGAGAGCAGTGCCCTCTACAGTGCCAGTAATGTGGGGGCTGTGCAGGCAGCAGGGGGCCCAGCCAGGAATACCGAGCTGCCTGGCCACTGTGAGAACCACAGCAACGAGGAGGAATGGGCTGGGAGGACCACACGCTTAATCAAAACCAGCTTTGTGTGCACATGCTGCCTGGGGGATAAAAATAATAGTAATAAAAGTTTAAGAGCAGCTTGTATTTTCTGTCTATTTTAATCATTTTGTGATGAAACTGGGTTTTATTTCTAGATCTGGGCCCCAGGCCTGGAGTCCTCTGCTGGCCTGGTTGTGCCCCTAAAAAAGTGTGGGGGTAGAAGATAGAGGTGTGGAAAAGCGGGGGCTCCTGAAGAGATCAGGAGACCTGCCCTTACATGGACAATGCCTCAACCCCTTCTATGGCCGGACTCAGGCCCCTGGGATACTTCCCCCCTCCCTCCTCGAGGTTGGATCCCTGGATTCTGACCCCAGGCCAGGGAGAAGGAGGCTTTGGGAAACTTCTCAGAGAGGATCTGAACTTCAGGAGGCTTAGGAATGGCAAAGCAGGGGCTGAGCTCCCACGTCTCCTGGGATGGCTCATTTCTCGCTGGTCTCTCTGCCTAAGAGCAAGCAGCATTCTAGCACAGAGAATTCTGGCTGGAGAAATGAGAACTCTTTTCTGGCCGTGTTGTTTAAGGGTGATGAGCCCTTGGATGAGCTCCTAAACTCCGAGAACAGAGCCTCCCTCGTCAGGAAAAAACAACCTCTTGGCAGAAGAGTGAAGAAGTGAGTAGCAAATAATAGGTGAGGAGCCAGCAAGATGCCTCAGTGGGTAAAGGCACTTGCCGCCAAGCCTGAGGATCTGAGTTTGGTCCCTGGGACCCACATGGTGGGAGGAAAGAAATGACTCCTGCAAATTGTCCTCTGAACTCCACACATACTCTATTTCATGCCCCCAGGCCCCAAATAAATAATAAAGTGTAATTAAAAAAAATCAAAATAACAGGTGGCATTACTAGGCATTTATCCCATGCATGAATATGCATCTGGGTATGTCCTCCATGTGCTCACAGCAGACAGAACCATAACACTTATCAATATTTAAATTCTTTCCCTCCCTCCCTCCTTTCTTTTCCTTCCTTCCTTCTTCCTTCCCTCCCCCCTAATCTGTTGTAGAATACTATTTTAAGTATGTCACATTTATTTATGCTGTGGAACATTTGTTTTAATGATGTAAAGATGTGTTGCATTCCTTTGTGTTGCATTTATATTTAACTTTGTGAAGCTGTGTTAGTTTGCCTGTCTAAACCACCTGATTGGTCTAATAAAGAGCTGAACGGCCAATAGTAAGGCAAGAGAAAGGATAGGTGGGGTTGGCAGGCAGAGAGAATATATAGAAGGAGAAATCCGGGAGACAAAGAAGATCGAGAAAAAGAGGAGGACGCAAGGGGCTAGCCACCCAGCTACACAACCATCCATGGATGGAGTAAGAGTGAAAGTAAGATCTATAGATGTAAGAAAAGGAAAAAGCCCAGAGCCACAAGTAGCCAGGATAATTTAAGTTAAGAAAAGCTGGCTAGAAATAAGCCAAGCTAAGGTGGGGCATTCATAAGAAAGAATGAGCCCCCAAGTGTGATTTATTTGGGAGCTGGGTGGTGGGCCCCTCAAAGAATAAAGAGTAAAAACAACTAACTACACCAACCTCCCTCTCTCTACCCCCTCTTTCTTTCCTTATTTGGGAGACAAACTCTCATCCAGTAGCCAAGGTTGGCTAGAACTTGCCACACAATCCAGGCTAGTCTTAAACTCAACACAATCCTCTGGTCTCAGGCTATTAAGTGTTTTATAAAAACAGCAGTTTGATTCAGTTCAACCTAATACTAACTGGATGCATGTGAAGATTTAAAGAATAAAACTGAAAGCAGGAGAGGATTAAGGAACATGCCAGGACTTAGACCAAGGCAGGTCAGAGTCTACTCAGCAACAGTCAGGTGACCACAGCAGTTGGGAGCAAGCACTTGGGTTCAGATTCCTACCCAACGAGGTGACCTGAGCAGGTGACTCAGTCTCTAGGTATTAAATGAAACTGATACCACCTGTCACTCTTCTGAGTCCCTCTTGTCAAGGTCACTAATGGTCTCTGCATTGTTCTTTCCAATAGTCATTAAATCAATCAAGCTGAGCTGCCTCAGTGGTAGCATCGGACTCATTGGTCATTCTTTCCTCTCTAGACTCCTGACCATTCGGCTTCTGGGCTATCTCTGTTCCGGACTTTTTCTCTTCTCGGGGCCATTCATTCCAGTCTCCTTTGCAGACCCCTGAGCTGCCTCTACCTCTCAGTGCTGTACTCTCATCTCCCTCTGGTTTTCAGTCACATCCACGTCAGGAGCTCCTTCAATCCCAAGGCACTCCATGATCTCTACGTGTGGGTTCCACTCCATGTTCCATTTTCAGTCCCTCAGCTCCAGTTCATCTCTGGAGCTGCCTCCTGGGCATTTTTATCTTCATATGCATGGA